ACAATCTGTATCATAATCAGTCTATCTTGGATAGTTTTGAATTTTTACAATCTTTCCCTGGACAGTATAGTCTGTTTCGCATTCAGAAAACAGAAACCGCCCGACAGAAAAAGTCAACTCTCTATGGTTAAACGCCATGTAAAAATCCCACGTCATTAAAACTAGCAAATGAAGCAACAAATGCATATTATCACTCTGGACACTGCCTTATTGTCCAATCACCACTGTCATTAATGCCTACCCACAAATTTACCCCAAAACCCAGTTGTTGTTGGCTTACCCCCTTTCCTGGGTAGTCCCAGCTGAGCTCCAGGCTGCTCCTGAGCGGCATGTCTACCTCGCAGGTCACCTCAAACCCCTCCCAGCCCTGGATCACCTCCATCTTGCTGGCCTGTATCGCTGGGGCCACCAGGGGGCTGTTCACTGTCATTGAACACAGAGGAAATATTGAATCTAATGACCGCTTCAAAACAACATGAGAGAGGTAAACTTCCGTTGACGTTGACTAGCAAGAGTACAGGGAGACTTGTCTCGGAGGGCCCATCTCAAAACTCAGTAATGATCTGCTTCATTCAAAATGCCCCCTTTATAGTGGAAATGTGCTACTGTGTTGTACCCAACTGTAAACGATTATTTTCAAGACAACCCTACTGAAAATGTCCAATTTACTTACCCATTGGATCCAATTCACATACCAGTTGAATCCAATTCACTTACCAATTCAATAACCACTTCCAAAACCAATTGCCTATGCTTGGAATCAATTGGAATAAATTGGATTCAAATGGTTTGAATAGTAAATTCAGACCTTTTCTTCGTTGGACCATTTCAAACCAATTGACACCATTTGAATGCCAATTCACAATCCAATTGTAACCAACCGAAGAACCAATTGAAACCATTTCAATACCAATTGAGTCCCATTTGAAAAATCCATTTGACGGGGGGAAAAGCTGAAAGCAAACCAATTGGAACCAATTGCGTCCCATTTCAAATTTCCAATTGATTGAGGAAAACAAACAGAGAGAAAGCATACCAATTGGAACCAATTGCGTCCCATTTGAAATCTCCAATCGATGGGGGAAAAACAAATGGGAGAGAAAACATACCAACTGAAACCAATTGAGCACCAATTGATGGCCAACTGGACCCAATTCATTCCAATTAAAACCAATTCAAAAATCAATTGGTTTGAATGGGCCATTTTCGGTAGGGAATACTCCCAAACCAGAATTTAGTATGTGACTCTTTGGAATAGAGCTCTCCTCCAAATTGATCGTTTCATGCAATTCTCAGTTCTGGAGATGTTATCTGAACAGACCTCTTTGATTCAAAATATATATGCATCAGGAGATGGTTTGGGGAGTGCACCTTCGTAGTTGACTGTGAACATCTGCTGCTGCTGGATGTTTCCCAGCTGTGCCTGACAGCGAACGAGTCCATGGAACCTCTCCTGGTCGGCCGTTACGTTGAAACCCAGCCTGGGGTCATAGGTGATGGTCGGGTCATCCGGCCTGACCTCCGACTTGTAGCCAATGACCAGGGAGACCTGGATGTCCGGGTCGGCAGTCCGGCAAGGAATGATGAAAGGGGAAGAGTCGTCTGCAATGAGGACGTGCTCGCTGGCCGGCAGGAACAACATGTCTGGATCTGGTCCAAAGAAAGAATAATTTGCAAAAAGAACAAAATGAGAGTGAGAGAGAACCTTTAGAAAAGCATTTGTAGAAGACATTGGAGAGAGAAATGTGGGCAGAACTATTCAAATTCCAGGTTGGGTCAGTAGCAAGGAAAGCATCTGAAACCACCTGCACTTTTAGCAAGGAATCAAATAACAAGGTGTGTTTTCAACCTAGACTAACCACACTTGACCAAGCTGATTTGTCCTGATTGGCAGCTTACCTAGCACACGGACAGGTATCGTGGCTGACTGCTGGTGGCTGAAGCTGGACGCAGTGCACGTGTACAGGCCGTTGTCGTGTTCTGTTGCATTCTCCACAGTCAACGAACTCACAAGATGCACCAGAGTACGCCCGATCTCCTTGGAGGTGGTTGTCTCCTGGTAACTGGAACTCCGTTCATCAGTCTGCTGGTTGGAGGAGGACAGAGTATAAAGTGACACATATACCTTTGCAGGATGCTAGAGACTAATTCACGTGGCCATCCCCAAAGTAATTGAAATCTGATTCTAGTGTTACATGAACATAAGAATTGGGTTCTGAATGCCAAGAATTGAAAGCACTCATTCAGCGCATCAGTTCAGAAGCCATGAGCATTTTTTTTTTCTTAATTAGAAGGCCTTAAAAAAATAACAGAAGATTTGCCTTTGTCACTTTTTACATACAGCCATTTCAGAATTTTACTTTTCGTAATTCGTGGTGACTGCCATCTTGAATCCCCTGAGATGTACTCCATTTGGACTTGGGTGCTTGTAAGTGGCAATCTGAGGGCGCTGTTTAAGAGTCACTAGAGAACAGACAGGGTTTTGAAATACCCCCCCACCCAGAGAGAGAGGACGTAAGAATGATGTTACCTGTTTGGCTGGATAGTCCCAGGTCAGTGATTCCAGAGCGCCCAAGGGAGCCTCCACCTCACAGGTGACATTGAACCCTTCTTTGCCCTCTATAACTTCCACTGCGCTGGCGTATACCATCGGATTAGGCGTGTAGGCTTCAGCTGCAGGCAAATCATAGCACATCAAATTAAAGGAATATAAAGTATGAAGTCATCAACATGTGACATTTCCACATCCGTGACAAGAGTAGACAGCTCACATAAATTGCAGAAACAACTCAATAGAGTTGACTGCAATTAGACTGCTATTTCTGAAGCGGTGCCAAGTTAGGACAACCAGGCAGCTTTGTACAGTACTAAAGAAATTGTGCCTTAAATTTAAGAATGTAAGTAACACATAAGTGGATGAGAGCCCACCTCAGAAACGGCTTCTAATTGCAGCGGCCAAACCAGTCAACAAAATTATAACAGTGGATGATTTTGCATCCATGAAACATTTGCTCAATCCACACCTTCAAGGATGAGTATGAAGGACTGCTCCTCGTGGACGTTTTCCATTTGGGCGTAGCACACCACCCGTCCATTCCAGCTGACGGGCGGTATGGTGAACCCCACCTGAGGGTCATACCACCAGCCGATGTCGTCAGGTGGCTGGCCATTGAGGGTGAGTGTGACACCGGCCTGGGGGTCGCTCACTCGGCAGGGGATGATGAATGGACGGTCCTCCGGAATCTTCAGGATGTTTGGATTGGGTTGCGGGAGGAACAACTTCACAGCACCTACAGCCAAGAAATAACATCAAGAGGTTGTATCAGAATTCACAACACCACCAAAAAAGTGCCACAGGGTTGAATTTCTACGTCACAGACTGAATACTTACTCTTGACGTATATGTAAATCCCGGTGGCAGTCTCATTGGTAATGCTGTCCAAGTGTCGGCTGTAGACACAGCGATAGAAGCCTGTGTCCTGGTATTCCATCTTATCGATCCGCAGCACACTGCGGTATCGTAGCGACTGGGGGCATGTTGGGCAGGCCACCGATGTCAGGGTGACCCTGGGGGCCACACTGGCCGGATACAGCCACTCTAGGGTGTAGGCACCCGTGCAGTCCAACTCAACTGTCGTATTATCCACAAAGACCAGCTCAGACGAGTTGACATTAATGTGGGGTGGGCCGACTCGGAGAAGATGAACGTCTGAGAAAAAAAATTCTGAGGGTTAATGTGGATCTCAACTGACATTCGGGGAAGTCGCAATCCAATGTGACAAGAGCTACTTTCCCCCTTTCCGGACCAGGCACAAATTGGAGACTCCACTTTGATTTCAATATCTTCGATTCCAAAGTACTTTAGTTTGAGAAAAAGGAAGCTGAATGTAATCCTCTTTCAACCGGTAAACCGCTGAGTCACAGTCACAACCCCGGCCTGGTTCGCACTTCAAGGTCAAGGTGATGCCAAAATCTTTACTAAGTTGTAAATCCTTTCGCCCTGAAGAGACTGTTAGGGTCAGTGTACATGCATCCTTCTCCAGTTCCTTGTAATTCAGTTATGAAATTTATAAGATAGTGTGGCAGGTGGATCGACACCAATATTCGTTCAAGATAGACTTTTTAACTCACCACTGCCGGTGACATGCACGTCAACTTGGACAGCTGTGCCACTGTTAAGGTGATTCATATACCGACTGTAGACGCACTGGTACTTCCCGGAATCGCCATAGCCGATGTTCTCTACGCGGAGGATGCTGGCGTGTCTGGCTTTTGGCGAACAAGTCGGACAGGCCCTGGAGGATAGCATAACATGGGACTGGATGCTCTGAGGGTAGTTCCACTCCAGGGTGTAGGCACCCGAGCAGGAGAGCTCTAAGGACTCGCCTTTGGTGATGATTAGTGGCGCCGATGGACTGTCAAGGCGTGGTGGGCCAACTTCGTAGAGACGCGTTCCAGCTAAACAAAAAATTGAATTGACCTCCCAGAGTGTTCATTTTATTCCAATGACTGCAAATAATTGATACCATAAGTAGTTCCAAGATGTTATAATCCCTCCAAAAAAGATCACAGATTTCCCAATGGACTTTAAACACAACTATTTCAATCAAGAAAATAACAAAATGGACATTGCCATCTTTATCTAAAGAAGCGTATGCAAACTTACATATCACTTGGATGTCAATCTCTGATGTGACAATCTCGTCACCAGCCTGGACAGTGCAGAAGTACGTGCCATTGTCATACTGGGTTGTGTTGAGTACAAACAATTTACTGCTGAACTTGTGTGAGATGCTGGATGGCTCAGTGATAATAAGTGATGTTCTCTCCTCTCGATAGTTGGACTCGTGCTCTTGAATCTGGAATCCGATAAGTAGATGAATTCCCAAGGGCCGTAAAGATGTGATCAGTTTCCTGAAACTGTCTTACTTTGTACATGAAAATGTTGGTTTGTACAAATGACAGTCAGTTCATAATTGGCTCAAAAGTAAAATCAAATGTAAAACTGTGATGTACGGTCAAATATTCATGAGTCAAATTCACAAAAGTTGAACACATGTCAACTCCAGCAAGTTTCACTACCAATATTTTGTGACATTGAGTTTGTCCGAAGTACGAAGTGGCCTTAACTGCAGCTAATGTTGGCCTGTTCTGCTCAAACTTGATCAAATCTGTACTGATGGTACACTCTTTGAAATATCACCAGCAAAATCTCTGGCAGTCCCCCCCTAAAAAACTGCAAATTGAAAAAGCAGTAGCGAAAGTTAAAGGTGACGTCAAGCAAGAAGAATCTGCCCCCCAACAACTGATTCTAGAACCGCGCCTGAGGCCAAGACCCTCATATCACAGCTAACCCTTTGGGTTATTAAACACAAATGTTAAGTACATGTAGCTGCATGGTGGGTGGGGACATCTGCAACTTTACTCCAGGGCTTGATATTGGTGAGGAGTAAAAGTAAAACTGGATCAACAAACTCACTTACAGTGATCCCATTTAAGGATGTTTTCAGACGAATATTTTGAAATTCAAACAATCTGGTTTTTTTTTAAACCAGAGTCCAAAGGAAAGCCTCAGCTACCTTCACTTGATACCTTGCCCTGGAAATTCACGTGTTACTGATAAGCAGTGAGCAAGTGTGTGAAGTTTTACATTTCAAACGGTACTTCACATGGAAAGTATTAGTCATAGAAACTCCAGATTTCTACTTTACATTGGGCACTTCCTGTTTAGCAATTGCTTCCAGAGAGACGACAGATTCAAATCAGAGATTCAGTCGGCTCTACCGAATCAAAGAAAGTTTGAATATGTCAAGCTCGGTATTACAGTTTTGACAATTAAAAACCTAACCACAATTGCGACTCAGATAAAAATGACACACTTCAGTGCAAGAATCCACGGCATTAGAATATTCACGGCATACTACATTCAATAAAGTTGGGTGAAGGACTCTGTGCTGCATGCATGAGTCATCAAAAATCACGGCTGTGGAACTGCGTCCCCTTACCCCCTTTCCTGGGTAGTCCCACGTGAGTTCCAGCATGCTCCTCGATGGCATGTCTACCTCACAGGTCACCTCAAACCCCTCCCAGCCCTGGATCACCTCCGTCTTGCTGGCAAATATCTCCGGCTTGGCCAGCGGGCTGCTCACTGGTGAGGAAGGAGAGAAGGGGAAAGAGGCGGGAGGAAATGACTTAAACAGTCCGATCCAATCCTACGTCACTCAAGTGGGCTGGCGTTGTTTTTCTTTTCCACGAATCGGTCGATACACTGCCAGCAATATGCCACTCCCCAGTTTCCATTCACTAAACAGGCAGGAATACATTTTATAAACACTAGCTCTTATCTTGCCATGCTTGTGAAAATGAGACAGGTATTTTGCAATGACATTTCCTATCTCCTCAGACAATACCAGACTGCTCTATCTACTTGTATAAACCATTACAACCCCCCTTTAACAAATCGTTCTTCTTCCTTTGGGCTTAAGGAACGGGCAGAGAGCTTGCATGTGTGCTAAAGTGTAATCCGAAACTTGAAACATTGATTTCTGATTGACGGAGTTGCAAATGATAAAATCTGGCAGTCAGGAAGTTGTAATCGTAAATTGGTTTCAGGCATGGACTCGGTGGCAACGGGGCCACTTCAGCTGACCTATGACTGGCTGGCACGTACATGCACTGAGTGTTTATTATTCTGTGTTGGGAGCAGGGACAAAGCCAACATGGGGAATTTCTCTTCCTGGCAGGATCTGCCCATATAGCTCCACTGGTTGTAATTACCTCCTTCCTTTTCCTTTGTTCCGTTCACTGATCTTTTACTCTTGTTCTTAATGGCTGGCAATGCTACTGCACTTCCCCACAATGCCTATGCAAGCAAAGTCTTTATTCCTAATGGCACTCTTTCAAAGTCCCGAGTCACACGTTTCAGCTCTAACTCGGGTCTTTGATTTCCCAGTATGACATAAATTCTAAATAATGCCAAGTTTGACCTGTTTGGTCTAGCTACTGCACATCTACTTACATGTATCAGTTGCAATTGATACATTTCAACATCAATCACAACATTACTTGTTTTCTACAGTTTGTGAACTTTTATGATAGTACTTTCAGAATGTAGCACTATAATTAAGAACACGGATGAATTGATAAAAAAAGGGTCATATTCTGTTAGAGTGTTGCTAAATAAATGATAAATGAATTGGGCCAGAATACCGCCCGTTTGTCTGGTAACAAACCTTCGTAAGTCACGATGAACATCTGCTGCTGTTGGACCTTGCCCAGCTGGCCCTCGCAGAACACAAAGCCGTGAAATAGCTCCTGGTTGGCCGTGATGTTGAATCCCACCACCGGGTGATAGCTCACCGTCACCCCATCGATGTTGACCAGGCTGTTGTACTCCAGGATGAGGGAGACCTCAGTCCTCCTGTCGGTGGTACGGCATGGAATGATGAGCGGCTCCATATCGCTGGTGATGATGTTCTGGTCTGGAGCTGGCAGGAACAACTGTTTGGAATCTGAGACAAAAAAATCACAAAAATTACTCATGCACATTGAGCATTTTGCAATTTGGCAAAAGAAGAGTCAAGATGTGTTTAGTTTTCATCTTCAAAATTCAACTAATCTCAAACCGATGCAACTGATCAATAACCGCATGTAAAGATGCATTACACAAGACTGTGCATCAAGTTTCTCTAGGGGCTTACATTGCATTTTCCTTCATATCATGCCTGCATTCTAAATAAATTAACTAACTTGACATTAGTCTTTACACAGTCAAGCTCCGTGGCCTGTGCTCACTGAGAAAACAGCAGGAAAAATTCACATTCACAAGTAAAATTGAGCTGTGTTTGCCTCGCCCACCTGCCAAATGGACTTCAAAGAGTTGTATCTGCCACCGCTCGCTTATGTTCCCTTTGCAAGCCACCACACCATCCCACTCCCTGCCGGTTACCAAGAAGCCCGACTGGGGGTTGTATGCAACTCCGTTCCCCACCTTCACCGCATCCTGCTCATAGGTCAGTGTGACGGTCGCCACAGGATCGGTGACGCGACACGGTATGACAAACGGCTCATCTCTGAAGATGATGACGGTGTTCTCATTGTTGGGCAAAGGCAGAAAAATATGACCTAGACGTGGAAGGGAGGTATTACCTTACTGGAAAGGAAATCTTTTATATCGAATATTTACATCGTTTTGCAATGCGATCTCAAGTCAAGAAAAATAAACAACACTGAATCAACTGTAATGGCCTTTCCATTCAGTGTGTACGGCACTGAAATTTTGTGGGTTTTTTTGGTGTGCAAGTTTCCACTCTTAGGAGGAAACACCTGTGACGTGTGTTAGGTAAAAGCCACATGAGTGAAGCTGTGTACAGGATTGAAAAGCTAGGCCACGTGTTTGATCTGGGTGGAACCTGCACTTGTCCCACAGCAGCTGCAACAGTGTCATTCATCTGAACAGTTAGTTACTTGTGCTTCAGTGATTCAGGATTTTAGTTAGATGGAAACATCTGTCAGGAAGATAAGGCCACACTTGGAAAGGGAAAAAAAAGAAACACAGGTTGAAAATGAACTTTGACTCACCCGGACTTCTCACATATATGTAAACATCCGATGACGTCTCATTGGTGATGCTATTGGAGTGCCTCCCATATACACACCGGTAGAGGCTCGTGTCGGTGTACACCGCGTTCTTGATCTTCAGGATGCTTTTGTACCGTAGCGCCCTTGGGCACGTGAGACACCCAACGGTCGTGAACTGGACCCGGGCCGCCACCGTATCTGGGTACAGCCACTCCAGGGTGGACGCCCCCGAGCAGCTCACCTCAATGGTTGCATTCTCGGCAGCAATAATTGCAGAGAAGTTTGCGTGAATGCGTGGGGGACCATCTCTAAGAAGACTGGCATCTGTTTGTAACAATGATACATGTATTTATTTTATTCAGAACAGTCCGATTTCAAAAAATCAAAAAAACTACAAGATGACTATTTGCTGTTTAGTCATGATAAAACCATTTCCATTTAAATTACGAGAATCTAAATTTGGACGACTATGCACTAAATTTTCTCGAAGCTTATACATGTAAATCAAGGTGCACCAGAAGAGCACACCTTAAAAAAAAACACATATACAGACAGGATCAGTGTAACTGGATTTTCATCCAAGAAAAAATCTAAAAACTGGCATGGATATATAAATACATGCTGAACCTGCACAAAAAATTAAGTGTAATTTTATGATAAGAAATACAATCTTTAAGAAATGCATTATTAGAGTAACTGACATTCTAAAGCTGAACTACATGTAGCTCAGGACTGCTTTTGAGGTTACGCAAATCATGTAAAGTAAGGAGAACTTCTATCTTTCAAACTCTAATGCTCTAACCTTCTACTACTCTGAAGTTCAGCGAAACACAAAAACACACGAGAGATGTTTGAATGCTTTCCTTCTCTCTCCTTTTTCTTTCTTAAAAAACCAGTACGAACGAGTCTTAGTCACGAAGAGTATGGAGGAAAAATGCAAAGTGCAAGACTAACATAAGGGTACTTCTCTTATTTGAATAATGTCTGTAGGTAGATAAAGAAATTATTACATAATAGGGATATGGTTTAAGCAAAATAAATGGGAGATATTAAAGTAGGGCACAAATTTATGACCGTCACACATGGTACTTATAGCCTCACCTTTCCCTGTCACGGTCACATCTACCTGGGCCGCTGTGCCACTATTGATATGATCAAGGTACCGACTGTAGATACACCGATAGCTCCCTGCATCACTATAGCCGACGCTGTCCACCCTCAGGACACTGATGTGCTGGGAGTCAGGAGGGCAAAGTGGACAGGCCCTGGAACTCATGTTGACGCGGGACTGGATGCTTGGAGGGTAGTTCCATTCGAGGGTGTAGGCGCCCGAGCAGTTCAGTTCCAGCGGTTCCCCTTCGCTGAGATTCAGATAGCGGGGCACTTCCAAGAAATGTGGTGGCCCGTTTGTGAACAGCTGGTCTCCAGCTGGTTTTTAAAGAGGGGGGGAAATAAAGATTTTTGCATTGATGACAAATTTGTAGGTCAGAGAAACCAAATGAACAGGGAAACCATTTTTAATCCCAAAATATTATTCTTATCTTGTTCTTATCCTCTGTGATTTATAAATTGGTAGTGTCAGACTATTCAGGGTTCCTCGCCTCACTTTCACTTTTATTTTTCAATGCAGCTTAGAACTTTTTATATAATTAATCACAAATTTTATATTATTCATCAGCATGAATGACATTAATCTGTACTGAACTTCTTGTCTTGCTTTCAGCTTCATTCTCAGGTTGCTGACACAATAGTGTTAACCTCTTTCTCAATTCAATACGATGACTTGTGAGGAAGGCCAATTGAAAAGTTTTCCCACAACAAAAGTTCCAAACAATTTTAAGATGTTTGATTATCTAAAAAGATCTGTAACATTGACGTATGCTTAATTTTTATTTGACAGGTAACACAGACAAGCAAGTGCAACTTACACAAAACAGTGATTTTCACCTCCGCTGAGGAACTGTCCACGTGGGTACTGGCAATGCAGACAAATGTCCCATTGTCAAAGATGGTGGCATTTGCCACAAATAGCTTGGTGCTCAATTTGCGGTGGTTTCTATGGGGTTCACTGATTTGATGTGAGGTCTCCTCTCGGTAATTGGATTCCAAGCCGGCAATCTGTGGGAAATGAAATTCATTGACTTGGAGTAAAAAAAAAAAGGATGAATGAATGTTTGATTTTGGCTGGCCTTCTTCTAATAATTCAAAAAATGCCGTCAGAAAGCTATCTTACACAAATAAATACGGCTTGTCCTATATCCAATTTAAGAAGAAAGGTTTGGAACCAAAAAAGTACATAAAGACATGTGGTTTTAAATTTCAACAATCGCATCACCAAAATCTTCTATGAACTTTAAACTTTTCTTCCTACTTAGGCAATAAACATTTTGTAGTGACAGTCCAAAACGAAGGTCAAAATAAAGGCTCAGGAATGGTATTTATCTTCATATACTGATTCCCTTGAAACATTTTTATGGTCTGCACTTATTAAGAGCATCCTCATGGTCTGGTGGCCCTGGCTAAAATTTTACAGTGCATGTGTGATCAACAGATTGGGGGAGGACCATTGCCAGTTGATACTGTGAGAAAGGCAGGAAGGGGCTGTATATTACTCTAAAGTCCAGGAAGCCATAAGTCAAGGCATAAAAGTAATTGCTTTCAGATTTCAACAATTTAAACAATCTGAGTCAAATTAGGCCCAACCCTAAATAAATGCCCCTCAGTGCTTGATAACTGTTTGAGTACACAGTTTTCATGTGGGATGGGAATGCAAAGAGGACATTTACAACTGAAGCGTTGACTGCCAAACGTGACACTGTGTATCCGCCATTTTCCTTTGGGAATCTAGCCCTCGCCTGGTTGCATAAAATCAATTCCATCAGGTTTTTGTGGTTAGAACAACTTGACAAAGCAAAACAAGGACAAATAAATTTAGGGACACCGGGTGTGGGACTATTGTTTTGTGCTTTATTATTTCCAAATTGTGAAAGTATTTCATGTTTTTCAAATGGATTGATCTCATTTTGCAAATAAACCCTTCAATTTCATAAAGACCACACACTTCTGGTCTCACACTAGTCACTCAATGGATGCACCTGGTCATTACCAGCGACATCATTTGTACAAAATGAAGGCGCTAGATGAAGAGAAATCCTTTCCTGGTCACTGCATGAGTCTTTAGAATCTCTCCATGATAAGAAAAACAAAAACAAAAAGGCCTCTGGCTATCAGGCAAATACAAGCCAGTTGGCATTGTCATTGTTTTGTAAATCTCTAACCAAATTTATCCGTATATGTAAGTAGCAAACATATTTTGCAAAGTACCCAACAAGTTAAAATGCATTTAATCCAAGCCTATACCTCACATATTTCCCCAGGAATTTGCTAATTTTAAGAACTTGATCAGATCAAGTGTGGAAGGAAGAAGTCCCCATACCTAAGTGGGTTCATGGCCTCAAAATTAAAAACTAAAAGCATCAACCTTGAATTTTGGTTATGAAAGTCAGAGCTACTGCTGAATGTGAATGTGGAAGTGGACTGCCTTGACAATCTTAATGGGAAATCTTGACAAGACTGACAAACACCAGCATAGGATGGACACTTAACCACTGCCACTGATAATCCATCATCAAAAACGAAATTCTCTGTATGGATAAAAGATGCTCCAAGATTTAACTGCAGTTTGATAAGCCAGGATCTTGTGTGGAAGAAATGGAAAACATGTGCACCATTCATTTTGTGAAAACAGACCCTTCAAGATGTCCATAAAACAAATTTTGGATCTGAGTCAGAGATAAATTCTTTAATAGCATAGCTGAGGGGATCTTGGGAATTTCCCAACATTCTACCCTTGTCCAAAGAATTCACAACATTGCTTGCTAGCTCTTCAAGAAGGATTCCTCATATAATAATAAACAATGATTCAAAGGATGCCTGTGCATTTTTTTGTTCCATTGGGGGACAGAGTTGGACATAAACCAAAATACAAGTGAGAAATCACTGTACAACACTGATGTATCAAAATGAGGGTTTGTATGAAAAAATTGCACCTCTTTATTTTTAGGTAAATTTTAGCAGGCCCCAACATTAATTGCAGCCACCATGGCTGTTGACTGTGTGCCCTGCGAGGTTGGCAGCAATGCCCTTTCAAAAAAAATATACACTATTCATGACCAAGTTGGCCAGTAAACAAGTAAGGATACTTCAAGCAAACAAATCATGTCATTCACAGAAAACAAATATATTGTCTAAAATTGTATTAATTTCTACCGTAAATATTGGTGTACATAAGGTACATATTGGTGGACAAAGCTGTCATTTAAATCAGTAGAGGATCTTCACTTTTCCCCAGCTGCCATTAGCCTTTTAGAAGCATGGCGGACATAACAGGAGGGTGTGATTTCAAGTGGGTAAAAGTGGGTAAAAAAACCAAAAAGCACCCTTCTATTGTGTCTGCCACGCCCTCCTATTGTGTCCGCCACACCTTGTTTGCCACGCTTCTAAAGGGGCTAAATGTGAATTCAACAATCCTTATCAATAAAGAAGCCATTTTTACTCATGTTCCCTGCCCCATGCTCCATTGGAAATGCGTGGAAACGCGCAGACAATAGACCTAGCTGTAGCTCTGGAAGCCTGTTTTGGACATGGCCTCACTTTCCTTTTTACAAATGTTGCTCAAAACAAAATTGTTAATTATTTATCATCACAAATAAAATCAATCTGCGATTGTTTTTTTTTTTTTTTAATTGCTTTCATTTTTGTAAGGTTCCCTAAATAAAAACGTTATCCTCGCTTTCAATTCAATACGGCAAACTTGTCCATAAGGTCAACTTGCCTTGCGTGCGTAATTTGGTGAGGGTATACGAGACATACATGTACATGCATGCAATGTACACTGGTTTCTACCATTAAATAAAGTATACATTAACATACGTTCAAAATTTCAACAATCCTAAAACCATGAAACAATCCAAAACTTCAGAAATATTTCTGTTGGTTCACAAGACAAGACTCCTATTTAAGTGTATGTAATTTTTTTATTTCCCTTCCTCTGTCACTGGCAGGGGAACTGGGGGGGGGGGACATTGCCCCCACCTTTGAAAAAGGTAATTGTTTTTGCCTCCCCTTTATACATGCAGGCCTACCAGCCATTGGAGGTACATTGCAACTTCAGTCTGTTGGCCGGGGCGTGCCCCGCCTTTTAAAACCATTTTGCCACTGTTGTCCTCTGTTCATATTTTAGTGGTCTAATGCTTTTTCCTTACATCTTTGTCTTTTAAAAGTGTGAGGTGATTCGGGGTTTAGATAACATGCGTACTGGCGTATATACACTTCCTGAAATTTACTCAAAATACGCAGCATAAAACCTGATGCAGAACATAAAATACACAGTGATTTCTACTACAAACAGGATAGCATAAGTTGTTCCATTTTTCATGTTCCATCAGTTATGCCCTGCCAACAGAGTAATATTCATATTGGACACTGCTGAAACTGATTTGTTCATGTTCATAGATCTACGTACAGCTTTTCCTGCTGCTCTGTGCGTGACCGTGATAAATGATCAGAAACTCCTGATTCGCTAAAAACAGGCATGCTTTCAAGTGGCATTTTAGAGGCTTTCCAGCACATCTTCAAGAAACTAGGTATCATTTTGGAAAAAAAAATCGGACCAGAGACACCTTAGAAAGATTGAGGTTTAGATTGTGAGTATGAGCGCATTTGACCGCCGAGCGATGAAGTGCACCATGATTTTCCGAATGGCCACCGCCGGGCGAGCGCACACGCCGCAGCCGGTCAACATGGCGTCCGCGCACAGTAGCCTCACACGTGCCGTCGTACATGGGCGGATACGGACTTATGTGATCTGTCAACCGTGTCATGAGTTCATGGCTATCACTAAGCGCTGTTTTGGTTTTTCTGTGTTTTTCAAGAGAAGTGACAAGTATTATTATATTTGCCTAGGCACAAAGGCACAAGGACTAACTCGCATAATACTGGTACTCAGTTCCTCCACCTAACAGTATTAGGGAGTACAGTAGTCTCCCTCTCATGAAGAAGAGTACAATACTAAACAATACTGAGGGCAAAAGAGTACTGTACTCTACTCTGAGCAAGGAAGTGGGTATTGTACTCGTGGCTTGAAGAAAATTATCTGAACCCCTTGATGACAAAATTCAACAGAAAAGGTAGGCCATCTCACAGTTGAGTAGGCAGGGGAAACCCCAAGTAGGACAATCAATCAATTAATCAAAGTTTGCCTTTATTACAATGTTGAACTTGATTTGGCAAACTATTAACCAGTTACATGTAGTTTATGTCAATCTACCTGTCTAACTGACACAGCAGCAACCAGCTAGCATCTCTATTTATTTCTCATATTTAAATTTTCAATTAGAATATTAAGGTAGGGCTTTAAAACGGGGTTGTACTGGTAACTGGAAGTAGACTTTATTTTTTGCATAAGTATTTTAACGATTCATATACACAATGGGAAAGCTTTTTACACTTCACTGTTCACAGGTATCCTTTCTTGAGGAGGGGCACATTGTCTTGTTTATTAATATTATTGTTACTATTATTATTGGGGGGGACACTGCATCCCTACATTAAATTGCATACTTAGTTTAACCCAATTATATGATTCAATTTTGCTAAGACTTAAACTAACTCTGACTTGACCCAAGTTGGCCTCGGTGCCCATTCACTTGGCCTTGATACCCTCCAAATTTTGATAACACTGAGGCCAAAGTAGCCCCTCCTCCCTTTTTTTAATGTTAGAGCCGATTTTAGTACAGACTACCTGTGCCATCCAGACTGGCCCTTTGCTTGAAATAGGACAGTGAGTCTTACCCTGTTTCCTGGGTATTCCCAGCTGAGTGCAAGATGGCTTCTTGAGGGCACATCTACCTGGCATGTCACCTCAAACCCCTCCAAGCCTTGAATGACTTCCCTCTTGCTGGCAGTGATCACAGGCGTGATGAGTGGACTGTGAGCTGATTGAAACCCCACCAACAGAAAAAGGATATGTCCGCAATAAAAGGAAATCTATTGTATCACGAAGAAATATATGAGACTGTCTCTCACAAAATAACAGTGGGATAAATACTGATCGTGATTGGACTCGCCCACAAAGTTTTAAAGGAGTTGGCCCCTATGTTGCCACGTGCCCAGCAGAAGGGTATTGAGGCATTTTGTTTTCTTTTAACACAACTCACATTGTAACAATTTACCCCTTCTAGCGGCCAGGCAGCAGACGCAATTTTTTTTTCTTCACTTTTTACCGCCTGTGAAAGTGTTAACATGGCAAAAGCAAATTAAAATACAAACATAAGTCTGGGGCACGTTTGGTCAGTCCAGTGGAAATACGTGTATGCCAAAATTTGGTCCCCTATAACACTGTGCATATAACTTGACAGAACAATCTAACAGCCCATGGCATCACAGTAGTAGAGTCCTCGAAGCTCAAACAACATACCTTCAAACTGTACAGTGTAAACCTGCTGTTGCTGCATATTCCCCAGTTGCGCCTGGCAGGTGATAAACCCTTCGTAGAACTCCTGATTGGCCGTTACATTAAATCCAATTTGGGGATCGTACACCAGAGATGTGTCCTGGTTCATCAGGGTATCGTATCCATGTACATGCACGAGGGAGACCTGGGCCCGGGGGTTCGTGATGCGACAGGGGATGATGAAGGGAGATGCGCCATTGATATAGATGGTGTGCTCGTCCACTGGCAGGAATAGCTTTTCGTGATCTGGGGAACCACCACAGACACTGAATCTTCACATTTGTCTTTTGATCTGTGTATGCGCTCCAGGACACATATTTCTTTTTTTACTCAAGCCTGCACTTTGTTCATTACTATGTCCATCCTCCTTTTTACAACAAGGACCTACCAAACTGCATCACACTGCATATCTTTTTATCAATACATTTCATAATGAAAGCCGTGCAGAAGAATAAGAACTACTGGTGTTATCTCAACGAAGCAATTATTTTGTGAATAACAGAGACACTTTTTTCATTGAAAATACTATATTTTACTTACCATTACTTGCAACATACACATAAACCTCTGTGGCAGTTTTCGTATTCAGACTGTCCATGTATTTCAGGTAAGCACACACATACAGTCCTGTGTCCTTGTAATGCGGCGTGCTGATTCTCAGAACACTGGTGTGCTTGAACTCAGGCTGGCAACTTCTGCACGGTCTAATTTCCACTCGGTCTGCCACACTATCCGGATAGATCCACTCCAGACCGAATGCACCATGGCATAAAATCTCCAACGTTCTGTTCTCAACAAATGTGAGCTCTGGGCCCTGCGGTGTGATGGACGGGGGACCGACTTTGTCGAGTCTTCCAGCTGGCCGACAAAAAAATGTACATGGGCTAGCATCAGTACTGTGTGGGTGAAAATTTCTCCACTACACCGCCTACACATACATGTATAACAAAAAGACTAACAGAAGTAAAGTATTTTAAGCATATCAGAGCATAAAATATGTACAGACACACAAAAATACAACTCTAATGATGAAAGCAGAGAAATGGGGGGAAAGGGAAATGACTTGTATGATAAATTAACTAAATGGTGGATATTGGTGTTGAATTCCCCTTTTGCTTAGACTTGACCACGCCGGAATCATCTGTGACATTCGTGTTGTCTGCATAATTATGCTTTGCATAAGGAGGCTGTAGGGCGTTACTTGCTTCGTGCGCTCTTGTGTCTACATGTACTTATTACTGTGAGTTCAGTAATCCCAACTTGATGAATCTGCCAACCATTTGTACACAGCGAATCAGCTCATCTACCAAAAGTGGGAGCAGTCATTCAAATTGAATTTTTAAGTCGTTCATACCTGTATTATAATGAACAACTCTAAAGGTCTGACTACGTTGATTGGTGGAAATTCCAAGTCTGACTACTTTGATTGGTGGAAATTCCAAGTCTGACTACTTTGAATGGTGGAAATTCTGTATACATTATGCAAGATCGTGTCATTCATATGCAATTATGAATGACCACATATCACCGATGGGGCCATCCGATTGGCTTATCTGTCAAGTCGGACTTACTGACTGGTGACATGTATGACACACGTTGTGCAATAAAGGCTATCAAGTGAGGGGACCTTCTAGAAGAGTTACGCGACAGCTTAGCCCAAGAGCGACAACCGTGTACTGTGTACAGGCTAGTGCAGGGATGGCTGACTGGGGAAGAGCTACATAAAGCCGACTTGATTCAAGTCTACCTTTTGCTCCGTGACTTGACTAAGAAAGGCTCAAGCTTGGGCCTATGCATCTAATTTGTGAACATGCAAAGGGTCAAGAGGGAAGATCATTTCGGCAGTAATGTCTATATCCCCAGAAAAAGGAAGTCCTTGCTTCAAGACACGTATACGAAAAATTGAACATAGGAAGGTCATCTTGTTCTGTGGTTTTTCTGTGATGACTTTGTTCCCCTCTGGTTTATCGGCAGCCAGCGGGGCAAACCAGCACAGAATGTCTGCGGTCATATGGTCTAGCCTCCATGATACAGCTACGTTGGAGGTCTAGGCTTACAGGAAGCTAAACAGGAGAACTCCTAATCGGCTACTGGTGATGTCATCATTGATCCAAAGACCCTGTCACTGCACTGCGGGATATGCTGATATGACGCTCTCTTTTATCCAATGTCACCTCCAACTTTCCCTGACCCCCCCTCCCCAGTTTTCATGTCAGTTCCGATGGCCTGATGAAAGCGGTATTCAGGTAAAGATCCATTGGGTGAGGCGCACCCTCACTTGAGACTTGTCCGCTGATGACCAACTGCCTGGAAATTGATTTGGACAGACAGACCAGATGCACTGTGATGTGTCATGCACTGATAGGACAATTATGTTTCATCAAAGCTGCAAACTGCAGAAGTGCTTTGCTTTTATCAACCAGTCGACAAATCACCCAAACTATAGTTTATCAAAGTGCAGTGTCTCCACAAAAACAAAAAAGAATTTGTTTGAGTTTACAGGTGTCCACATTAAGCTTTACAAGCTCATTTGCTGAAATTCTATTTCAAAACGGCAAAGGCATTAGTACACAATCTGCAACTTTAAATTTAAAGCCAAGTTCAAAGGTACGTAGGCCCTACATGTTACACGTACAGTAAGCTAGATAGTTTAGCGACTCTGTGGAACTTCTTAGTTATCACAGGTACATGTACATGTACATGTACATGTGTACATGTACATGTATGCATGAGCCATTTGTAGTTGAAAGGTGACACTTCCATTTTTGCTAATGCGTCAACTTACAACTTCCATACAGGTCTACTAATCATTAAAAGCAGCTGTCTGTGCCCGTTAGTACCACTTTTCAAAATGGGTGACAATACACATAAAACAGTTACAAGGGCTCAATGAAGAAAATGGGTGTGCCACTAATGCTGTTTCCTGACATGCAGACACGCATGTGTAGTAGTATACACACTCCAGATATCAGAGACAAGTTGAAGATTCAGACTGTATCACAGCCTCCATATACTTTCTGTGCTAGTAGTATCCTTTTGCCTTCGTATCTGCAGATTATTTATGGTATTTTAAATGTCAGGAAACTTCACTCATGCCCCAATACATGTAAATCCCATGTGAGCCATTGATACATGTAGGCCTATGGCTCCTATGCAGCCAGCTGTAAGAAAAAAAAAAAAGCTGTGGCCACATCCTCCATGCAGGTGCATGCAATGACCACAGTCTTTCCCTTTTCCTACTTACAAAACAAGTTACTGGAGTGAAAACAGCTCTCTCTTGCTAGGCAATGGCGATTTTAAGGCAAAGTTTAGAGACTACATGTACATGGGTTTATTATTATTGACATTGATGACATTGTTTTCTTAACAATTCGGATTGTGAATTCATATGCATTGAAAATGAGTGTAACTGTAGAAGCAAGAAGTGCTCAAGGTGTGAAAACAATGCACTTATATTCGTTTCTAAGCACATGACAATATCGGTAGTGCCCCAAGCACCGAGATGTGATATGTCTCAGATTTTCAGATGCTTTTCAACAAATTAGTTCCTCGTCAATTAGCTTTTCTTCATCAGAATTCCTCAAATAAATGAAATAAAAAAATGAGATGTTCATCTGCCCTGCCATGTTGAACGCCTTGACCCCTGTAGCAGGGAACCGCAGGAGTTAATTTTCTGATTCAGTCAGGGGTGGAAGGACCTTGACCCACTGATGGAAACTTCAGCTGTAGGACAATTCAGTGTGCTGGCTGAGACAGCCCATGGCCCTCTCATCACATCACACCACTCTCCTCATTCCTCCATGGCTGAGATTGCTGAAGTCTGCTCTGCTCTTCAAAAACGTGTCAAGTTATGCTGAGGCCACTGCATAATTAACATCCATCATATCCACCAACGTTCAAATTAAATTTGTGCCAGTCTAAACACAACTTAAGATGCAATCCAGCAAGAAGGTACAGCCAATTTAGGTACATGTAACTAGCCAACAACTCAATTTCTGAGGTGCTTACTTTACAAACAAAAAGCCTAAAGGACTATCTTCAAACAATTCAAGCTGACTAAGTGAAGTGTGGGGCTTTGCTCTTGATCTGTAACCAGTGTGCCTTGTTTCCCATTTCATAAACTCATAAGAGTGTTGCCCAAATTTTGTCTAATTGTGTGGACTGGTTCTTGGATCAAAATCATCCAGCTAATAGCACACTCTTACTTGTCCTTCCCAGTAATTTCTCTTGTTTCTAATTCAGCAGGTTATATGTTGTTTGTACTAAACTCTGCAGGTTTATAATGCTGAAGCACAAGTGCAGGTTAGTCCATTTTCTTAGAAAACAATGTGGCCACTAGCAAGGTACTGCATGTACATGTATGTGTACTTAATTCACAACAGATGGACAATATATTCTAGTCTCTTAAAAAGTAGGAATCACCTACCTCACAGGAAGTATCCATATTTATTAGGATTTCTATTGCGGAAATTTGTCTCTGGGCAGTTTTGCCAACTTCCTGACAGTGTGGTCAAGATCAGTTTCCATCTGAGTTCAGGATCTGTCCACTCTCAGATAACTATTACAACCAACAGTCCAAGTACTCATTGCCAGAAAAGTTGGAGAATATTTTGAAATTTAAACGCAATAGTTTCAAGAAATGGACACTGTAACTTTCTAGGGTAAAAAGTCCCAAGCACAATTATGAACCAAACCTCATACGCATATCACACAACAACAAAAAACACTCTTGGCTGTAAAATGGCTTTATGTAGTGATGTACATATCGGAGAGGGGAGGAGGGAGGAATTTTTGAGTAAGGCTATTGGTATTTTTTTCTCCCACAAAAGTCATGTTGAATTAAAGTCAAAAGCCACATTCACTTTTGAATATGCCCCCCTGGCACCACAAGCTGGATATGCCGTTGGATTTCTCAGTTTCTCTAATGTTGGAGGAAGCCAAAACTGTTCCACACAGAAACACAAGAAATTTTCAAGACAAGATTCAAATCAGTAGGGAATGAGAACAGGGGCTTACTTTCTCTTTAATGCCAGAACATATTGTCATCCAATTTTATCAAGATCTTCTTGATTTGCGATAGAAGCCCACGCTACAAAGTACAGCTCTGGACAAGACAGAAGAAAGTAATACGGCGTAATAACTGACAACCAGCGGACACTGATTTATCTGAAATGCAAAGAGCGTGCACATTTTCGCTGAAGTCTTAGACCTTGAACTCAACATAATTAGAGTTTGATACCATTTTGCACAAACCTGGTAGGTTATAGCATGTACTGTTAATATGCCATTATATTTTCAGCTACCCTGACAAATGTTGGCCACACACATTGAAAGGGCATTTTGAAGTCACTGCATCCCAAGAGAAGGAAACCCCTGAACTCAGGTGCTAAAAGCCCTTGGCTGATATGCAACAGTGGCCCCCTCATGCACCAAGGGGCAGAGTTAACATTTCATCAGCATCAAGTATTTTTTGTGGTTGAAATAAATCTCTTTTTTTTTGTAAAGTACACAATCTGTCTAACATATAGATGGAAACTCTTCTTAATATGGCAAATTTAAATCCAAGTGAGAGAGGCAACCAATTGGAATTCTAAAACATTATCACAATTTTATAAAGGGCATTATTTTAGGTTCTATGTGGACACCATCTCTACCAAAGAAAGTATTCATAATTTGTATCAAATTGTGAAGTTGACTGCTTATTACCCAAGGGAATGGTCTTCACGAAAAAATGAATGAACTTGACTTAATGCTAACCGTCCTGAATAGCAATCCCTCACCCTTTGGAGGATTAGGTTCCTCAGTGTATGTAAATGTGTGCATTTGCAATCACACACACACACGTGCAAAAAGCATACTTTTTGTAACCCCTCAGCAAAACTTTTTCCCTCAATTTGGCCCATTTCCCAGTAAAAAGGTTGTTCAAGTACCTCCCTGTCCTTCAACATAGATATCCCCATTTTGTTTGGGTCTGACTATACTGTAGGCAAGCAGTGCCTGCATGGTCCTCTTCACTGATCCAAATAAACAATCTAATTGCCTTGGGATTTGCAACAGATGTGAGGCACTGATAAGACAAAACATTTTTATGGAGGTTTGTTAACTGTAAACTACCTCTTCATGAGGTGAAAAATGGAGCCCTGTATAAAAGAAGTCTTTATCAATTCTTTCCTGACAAACTGATGTTTGCTGCACACAGAGAAAAATAAAAGAGCGCCTTAAGTTCTAATAGTCTAAAGTTCAAAGATTGACCACGCAATTTTGCACACAAGCGGTACTTTCTTTCTGTATCTTTAAAGATTGTTGATGTATACATGTATTATTGTTTTCTAATATACATGTACATGTATGTAGAAGACTGTTTTTGCTCAAATACCTCCCAAATGAATTAAAATTAACCAGGCATTAAATACTTTTTAACTAAAAAAAAAGATTGGCTTCATTCGGAAAGCATTTAAGATATGCAAGTGAGCCTTCAAAAGTTATTTCTTTGGTAAAACAAAAGAAATTTCATTCTGTTCATTAGCTTTGCACTCGAGCAATGTTATCTGTCCACCTGTGCTGAGGGCAGGCACAAATTTTGAAAAAGCTTTTTCCAAATTTTAGCACGGGGGGGGGTTCAGTTTCAAAGTTTTCCTGAGATAGGGAGGGCAGCGTATTTTGCTTGGTTTTGTACCTTGGCTGGGAAAGGCAAAACAAATATTTTAATCCCAGGTGAAACCGCACTGAAGTCTCAGCACAAACTACATGCAGTAAACTGGATTCGTTCCTTGTGCACTAAATATCACCAAGGACAGAATGAAGTTCGAAAGGCTAATTTTATCTATGCCTTTGTTTAAAGCAAATGCTGTGAAAGTTATGGGAGGGGGACAAGCTGAATCATGTCTAGGTTGCCAAGAGCCTTTCTCTTGACAATACAGGTAATTTCCTGATCTTGCTCCTGTTGAAAGTGCAACTGAAACATATTGCATCAAATATCAAGTTCTGCCCATTTAAATCCAACCTTTTTTATTTTTTTCTTTTGTATATTTTTTTGTTGTTTCTTGACTTTCTCCTTACTTTTCGTCTTGCTTAATTCCAACGAGAAACTCATTTAAGAATATGGTTAAAAATACCACTTGCTTTGCATGAAATTCTAAGGCCTCAAAAACTTGCTGGCTTACATGTAGTTTTCAATATTCTAGCTGCCGCTGAAGTACTGGCATCGAGTGAGAATACGAAACGCCATTACAAACTTTGATAATGATAACCCGCCTTTAAACTCGAAAGGGCACATCGACAGCTAGATCTGCGACTTATTTTGGAAAATCGTCGAAACACAAAATCGACAAAGTTTCGACAGCTCTACCAAACTTCATAAATGAAGAGTGAACGGACCACAAATTTGAGGATGACCATTTTGTTTTCATTTTTTTCTTTCGGCGAAAACTTAAGTCCAGGGAGAACTTACCAAACACTGATGCCTCAAAAAGTAGACATGTGCTGAAGAGAAGCAGAACAGTACGCATTTGAACAATTGCCATCAAAAGCCTCGCGTAAAATCCTGACATTTTCAGTAAATAGGGGGTATTCCAATCCAAGTGAACAACCACAGACAATGTTATTCCATTTGTGAGCAGTTTGGTGTTGATTATTTTCCGTTTTAGAGGCCAAACACAGAAGAAAACATCAGTGACACGTAACTATCCATAGTGACTCCATTCCCGTGGTTCATTCAACGTACAGCCAGCGGTGCGTCTGAAATTTGCAGCGGAAATCATGGCAGGTTGGCAAACAAGCTGCTAACTCAAACACTTTACTTGCTCATTAGCATAGTGCTGTGCTTCCGAAAGTCCTTACTCCCTCTGAAGAGATGTGACACAACTTATTTCTGCAAACGAATGTTTCATCAAATAATTTCTCAAATAAATTTCAGAGGGTTTTGAATTTACTGATGATGAAATTTTTCTAAATATGGACTTTGCTTTTTCGAGCATGGGGCTGTTTATACAACAATTCTTTAGTCGTTCCGACTGCCATGTTGTAAACAGTAATAGCAAAAGTGGGCGGAGTCTATCGCCCTTGTCAGAAAGTAAGCGCGTCACGCACGCGTAGGACGTGTGTGCGCGTGCGGAGGAGGGTTGCCAAACTTTTTCCTGACGAATAAAACTGGCACAGGCAACCATCAGTTAATCTACTCCCGAGCAGTCGAAATTTGCATACAACGGGTCCACCCAAGAGAGGGTGCACGGTGACACGTGCCAAAGTTCGTACACGCTGACATAAAGTGTGTCCATCATAAGAGTTACGACTGAAGAGGAAACGGAATTTTACCTTTCAAAAGAATGCTAAAATAATCACATATAAACCATAAAGTCATGCAACCATGGCGAAAGATGGTCACTCCTCAATTTTGGAACATAAAAGCTCTGCCACCATTCCCGAATCCTCGCTAAGGAGACGTACTTGTATATATGCACGTACAGAATTACATGTATCTGTTTATATTCTTGCGGCACAAGACTGAGCTAGCTCGGAACGATACTGTCCACCTGCCAAAAAAAAAATAAATAAATAAACAATAAAAGAATTAAAACATAAATTAAAAAATGGCAGAATGCCCAACAATGTATCAATTTTGTAAAATGTACACGTATGTTGGGTTTCTTGGGCCTCAACTATGGACGAGGGCCCTTAGTGCTCTCAACTATAAGACGCCAACTGAACGTCAACTCGGATACGTTCAATTTGATAAAATAACAAAAAGAGATTGGGACCTGCTGCATTCAGAGAGTAGGTGCAACACTCTGCAGGTTCATCAACCGCTCATCGGGCCAGGACTAATTAAACATTTCAAAATTTGCACTGAATAAGTGTACCTGTAAAACATTAATCTATCGAGCTACCTTCTCTTCACACAATGTTGCATTGAAGATTTGAAATTTCACAAAATCGAAGTTTAAAGCTGACCGGAAAAAGAACATTAATTCTATATACAGATGCTACTTGCAGTCTTAAACCGTGATTGTAAATGTAAATGTGCATGTCAGTGACAAAGAATTGGCTGCTCAGAAAGATCTGAAATGCATTTATCCCGCATTTACCAATTGCGTTTGTTCATATAAATTATAGAACGAAGTTATACGAAGACATTCTAAGGCGATTTAGGTTTCCTCTCATAAGCTTTTGGAATGTTGTTTTCTGTAACATTTTTCTTGTACAATATTCATGCATCAGTGACTTGCCGAGCAGGTTCGTAAGAAATATTCCCAAGTAAAAAAAGTTTGACTGCATGCCTCACTTTCCCCTGTATGATTTGTGCATAAAATTCATGGCTTGCTTGACATGCAGTGCCATGATATCAGGAGATCGTCGGAAAGATGTACCGGTACTTGACAAAGGGTTTTTGAAAATAAGCTGTGTGAAGAAAATAAAATATCAAGAAGAAGATGGTGACTCCTGCTAGGATATCGGAATAATAATAAACTAGGACAGTACCTGTGTCACTGACTTGCTGAATATTAGCGGGCAAACAAAATGTGGAAGATTCCTCCATTAAAATCTACCCTTTTTAAAATGATTCCGTTGAGAACGTTGATTGTTAATTAAATGTACAGTTTTTACCATTCATAGTGATGACCTGACCCTGCGTACCAGGTTTCAACCCTCGACTTTATCTGGGCCAAAAAGGCAGTCTCTCTCAATGCGGTTGTTCGAACAACCCCCCCCCCACCCAAACTCCGTTCACTGCGAAGGCGTCAGTTTACTTTTTGTAGGTTTCATTAGGTTGACGACTTGTAAAAAGCTGTGGTTTCTATGAAGATAATAACTTCCTCCGACAGTAGCCATATCCAGGAGTCCAAACTACAGCTTTTCGAGCACAGACATCGCAGCGAGGTAGTATTACTGCCTGCTGTGGACCTTTTTTTTCCTTTGCTATACTACAGTATTATAAATTATAATTTCCATTAATAGCGTGCGTGTAATTTCTTCTCAACCATCTTCGATGTTACCACCTCCTGCTTGTGTGACTCAGTGTCATGTCAGCTAGAAAGGGCTAACGAGAACCACACCCTCGTGGAGTCTGTGTGCGAGCCTTCATAATTGTAACTAAATAGGGGATCATTCATAGATCAATGAAAAAAAACACACACACACACACAAAGGGCGACAACATGATTATTCCATTACTGCAAACTCTATTTGTGAGCGCAGCTCAAAATGATAATCTCATTTCTTTCCCCTTAACAATGTCGTGAAACTATCGTCGTCTGTACCTAAGCCTCGTGGAAGGACGATGCTCCATCGAGTACCCTGCACCAAGCAACCGCACGAAGATTGTGTGGGTCCTTTCTAGATGCAGCGCATGCACGTGAGTGGCACGTGTCGTCCTCGCTACATTTTTTATGGCGCGTGGATAGTAAGATATTTGACCGACTTACTGGTTGATACCTTTTCATCGTTACATGTATTAGTTGGCTCGGCTCGATGAAGGGGACAAATAAAAGTAGGCCTATAGAAATTTTTTCGTCGCTGTGTACTGAAGACTAAATATAAGCCCCCCCCGGCTGGTGCTGCGTCGTGGATGAGACAATTGTGTTTGTGTTTTGAGGTTAAACTCGTTGATGAAAACGTAACGTAAGCCTCGTGAACAGTGCACACAGCAATCCGAACAGTATTTGGAATTATATGCATATTCTTTTTAAAAACGAAAATCTCTCTGCGTAAAAAGCCCAGCCTATTTCCAAAGCCCCTCCAAATTCGGATACTGGGAATTACGGGCAACACCCTTGGGTCCATGAAACGAAGTCAAAGATTTGGGGGGGGGGTGTAGAAGAAAGGGATGGGCCATTGTAAAGTCCCTAGCATTGGTGTGACTACCCCTTTAGTAAGTTTTAGGTCACAAGTTGGCAAAGCCTTTACATATTTGGAAAATTACCGTAAATTGTTGGTACAGGTACATGACGGTCCACGGGTTTACTCTCTCTGAACATATCGACACTGCTTATTAACAGGCAGAGCGTGTTTATCGGATAGCCAAGGTCCTGATTTGTGTATCCCTCTCCCCCATGTTTCGAGGAATAACACGGTATGTTTATGATGTCAAAACAAGTTTCGCAAACTGAGCATGCATGAGGCACAGACACCATCATAAATGATGTGGACCAGCTTGTCTGAAGTTTGTTTTGATCGAAGGCCAAAACGGCCACTTGTTGAATCAGTAAAAGGGTGCAACTTTGTAGGTCGTGTGCATTAAGTAACTTGTTCCCCACTCAGGATGATGTGAAGATATCTGGGAACATTGATGACGGTAAGTAAACACGGTCAAGCCGCAGGAGACCGTTTGGATGACAGGCGCTTAAAACTTGTGCGCTTGCAATTGAACCAGCGTCACTTCCGCTGGGTGGGGGTAAACAGCCCCTCAGCTCTTGAATATGCTCGTTTATATCTGAATTGTTTTGAAACAACTTCCTTAAGTGTGAGGGAACCAATTCAGGGGATGATCAGCGTATGATCCCATGCCAAAACGTGCTACTGGTACTTACTTGTGAGCAACGCAAGGCCTTCTACAAGAAGTCACACCAATGGAGTCGGGACAGGGAGGGAAAATAGCTCCCCGATAGTACAGTGCCAAGCACCAGCAGGGGCGGGGGGGGGTTTGCGACAGATAAGACCAAACAAAACACAAAGAAAAACACTCTTTGACAAAACAAACAAATCAACCAACCCAAACACTCGATCCTGAAGTTTTCGGACCGTCCATTCAGAAAGGATGAGGTGACAGTGAACATATGACTTTGGTGACAAGGGTACTCGTCCCATTATAGCAGTAGCCACAGCCATTCAATTGACGGCGAGCTTAACTATTTACGGAGCCATTTTCCTCGATTGTCGCTCCGTAGACCTGAAAAACCCAACACTATGCTTTCTGCCATTACAAAAGAAAGCGATCTCGATTTTTATTTATTTGTATGCAATTTTTGAACACAACATGCAGAGGGAATTCCGTCTTGAATAAAGACTGTGACTGTGACTTGGGGGATTTTCTTCAAAGTGAAGTAAAGCCCGACGGGGGGAGGGGAGAAGACTAGTCTCCTCTCAAGAACCACTTTCTCATCTGAAAGTAATTGGTGTTTTCCACAGACAGTCGTGTGAAAAAGAAAAGGAAAGAAACGTCGCTTGATACTTCTATAGGTGGCGCTTTTGTGGTAGTAACAGTGTTACTTTTCTATCCCCTTTATTAGCTCCACTTTTGACAACAGTGCCACAGGTTTTGCTAAAGAAATGGCCGGGGGTCACAGTAATGTCACACTCTGACGTGACCTTCCTCCATCTGTGACAATCTCAAAGTGCTCGGGAACGAACCGCCGCATTTGGTTGGTGCGCCACCGCGAGCTAGCGCGCCCCTTTAAAGCTCTTCCCGAGAATGCGCATGCTCAGTGTGAAGTATCCACAACAGCAGAGGTTAGTTCTTCCTTTCATTTCTGTTGTTTAAAGATCTTTTGTATCAAATATTGTATTATCTGTAAAAAGACTGATGGGAGATACTTGTATGTAATTTATGGTATTCATTTGATCATCTAGGGATTGAAATCCTACTTGTCGTTTCTTAAAATAAAAAAATGATGTGAACCGGTTTGTGATCATGGGGGCCGCCACATTGGTTGTGTGTGTTTTTGCATGTCATCCTTCGATGTCATGTGTGATACTATAGCCTGGTCGAAATGTTTGGCGTGCTGTGAATTTCAGTACTT